TTTTAGGTTGCGTTTAATAAAAAATATTAAGATTTTTTTAATATTTTTGGTTACGTTTTTCTTTAATCTTAAATTAAACCGTCGTACCACATAAATACTAGTACATTCGTGAAGAATTATATAGGAATTTGAGGTGATATTTATAATAATCATGAGAAGTAGTTGTGTGTTGTGTAGGAAAAAAATATTTTTCGAGTCAAAGTCTTCACCTGTTATTGTCGATATTTTTAGAGTTCAAAAGGAAAAACTATAAAAGAATATGTATAGTAAATTATACATATCAAATCTTTATAGATAATGATTTTTCTATAAAAACCAACTTTTTGTATCTGACAAATTAAAAGAAAATGAAATTAAAAATTAATTATTTTATTTTTATTAAGCTAAGAGTGATTACAAAGTAGTATTTATTTTAAGTACTCTTAACCATTTGACAATAAATGTTCAATCACTCTTGCACTCGTTGGTGTTTAAACTTGTGACTTCTAAAAATAACAATGATTCACTGAGGTATCAAATTTAAGTTCTTTCTATAAATATAAAAAAAATTAAAATTAAGGCAAGAATAAGGTTTTTGGGACAAAACGAAGGTGTTAATGGGCTTTCAGCTTATTGTTAGTGCGTAGATCTTAAAAAAATTATGCAGATTTAATAAAAATAAAATTGTCTCAATTAGACACACGGGCACAAAATGATGATATTTCAAAATTTTACGTTATAATTATAGTTTAAATAGCAACATGATTTATTCTTTTACTTAAAATACTTATTTTTAAAAATCTCTAAAAAAATGTGAGTGACTAATCACATTTTTTTATAATACAAAAAAAAAACGAAAACTAACTTAAACTAACTTATAAGGCTTTATAATAAGTCTAAGTCTGGCCTATTTAAGTTAATAGACTTTTAAAAAAACCCGAGCCTGTCCTTTATATTAAAATAGGTCAAGCCAGACCAGACTTTATGTAAGCTAGGCCGTAGGCCCCTGTAGGCCGGCCTGACCTATTTCCACCCCTATTATCCACTATAGTAGCTAGCCACCTCCCTTGGAGGAGAGTAGTAAAGAACCTCTCCTATTGCTTTGCCCCTCGCCAATGCTGCAAGTTTATCAGCTACCAGTTTAGCTTCACGACGGTTGTGCCTTATTTTTACAATCCAATCTCGGTGCAGTAGTTCCCGGATCTTTCAAACATCCGTCTCACTCTCAACAATCCGACTCTTGTTGTTGAGTATGTCCACCGCCTTAGCACAATCCGTTTCTAACAATTTTTATGTACCCATAACTCCGGTTTCAACGAATCATGGATTGCCCACATTTCCTCCATAAGAACAGAACAAATTCCTAAGCTCCAAGCAAACTCAAAGAGCCATGTACCTTGCTCGTCTCGCAGTACTCCACCCGCAGCAGCCATCTTCATCGCTCCACCTACAGCTCCATCAGAACTCACCTTTATCCAATTCATAGCAGGCCGACTCCACCGAACAGCAGCACGATCAACACCCTGACGTCCTAATCCGATCGTTCACTCTCCAAAATTTTATTTTTAAACTGCAAGCGACTAAGCACATCTTTCACGTACATATTAGTTGAGACATCACTAAGAATAAATATCACCTTATCAAATGTATCTTTCAAAATACACGAATGATAAAAAAATCACTTCCACTCTACATAACAAAAACAAGTGTTATTTTCATTAAAAAAATCTAAAATGATATTATTTTTACAGATAATATTAAAAAAATATTTTTAGTTAACACAATATCTAGGGATGGCAAACGGGTACAGTTTCGTGGATTCCGCACCGTATCCGTTCCAATTGGGGCGGGGATGGGTATAATTTTAGCGGGTAGTGGGCGGGTATGGATTTAGAAAGTGGTACCCGTCGCGGGTGGTGGGCGGGTAATGGGTTTGAGACATTACCCGCCCCGCATCCGCCCGCCCCACATCCGCCCGCCCAGCTAAATATCCATTAAATTTTGGACCATTATGAATTTAGGTGTAATTTTAGAGACTAATTTATAAATTCTAATATTGTATAAGATATAACATGTAATTTATCCAACTCTCCAACAAATAGCAAAGGATATTTTGGGCATTCATGTCTCCACTGTCCCATCAAAATCTGCATTCAGTATAGGTGGAATAGTAATTGGTCCTTATCGTAGTCGACTACTTCCGGAGACAATTAAAGCATTAATGTATGCTCAAAATTGGCTTTGGGCCGATATTAAAGGTAATATTATTATTTAGTTTATATTAGTTGTCAAATTATGCTTAATTATCTTATTAAAGTTTAGTTACTAACTTATATTAGTTTTACTTTCTATTATATATGTAGGTAGTAGTGAATTTAAATTGGAGCGCTCTCAGTTGGAGGAAATAGAGAATGATGATTGTAATACTGGAGTATTATATGTCACAAAATATTGCCTGAAATTTTAGAATGTTGTGCCAAAGAACAAAATTATTATGTGTTTGTCATTTATGTTTCTAGACTTTAATTATGTCATTTATTATGGTATTTTATGTATTTTAAGATCTATATTAACACTTAACTTAGATAATCATTGGATTATTTTATTATGTTTCTTAATGGACATGTTTTTTTTATGTTTGTTGCTTATGTATAACTTAAGTTTGCTGTCAGGCGGGTCTAGACGGATACGTCGCTAGTGGGTAGTGGCTGTGGGATTGGATTTGAGAATGTACCCGAGTGGGCGGGTGTGGATTTGAAAATTTGTACCCATCATAGGTGGTGGGCGGATGGTGGATTGAAAAATATTAGGTGGATATGAAGATAGAGGAAGGGGTATCCGCACCCGACTCACCCGTTTACAATCCTAACGATATCATTTACACATCTATTTCTTTCAATAATAAAAAAGAAAGAAACGGGTGCACTAACATGAATCTATGTGTGCACCAACACATAAATTAAAATATCTCTTTATTAAAATATCACACAAATTAAAGGTGTGTTCTGTCAAAAATATTTTTTAAAAAGTAAGGCTGAGAAAATTGTCTTTTTCTTATATAATAAAAAAATAAATTTTATTTTTATAAATAGTTTTAAAATAATATTATTTTCATAATTAATAATATATATAGATAATAAAATCTCATTAATTACCTCGATTTTTTTCATAAAATAAAAGAAATGTGTGCGCTAATACAAATCCATGTGTTTCGACCCAATACAAATTCATAGGATCGAATAAAAGAAAACGTGTTTTTGGATAGAACTGGTAAAGTTGACCCGTATCCGATTACCTGAATTAATTTACTCGATCCGAGATTCGATATAGATCCAAATACGATTATCCAAAATTATTCGAAACTCGAAATAAACCGAATCGAACATAAATCGACCTGAATTTTAGTTAAATCGAAAATAACCCAAACCAAAAATAACCTGAACCGAAAGCAACCTGAATTTAATTTTCTAATATCATATCCAAATCAAACTTCGACCCGATTTTAACTCGATAGTCGAGTCTAAGTAAATGAAAAATTTATTATTATTATCATCATCATCATCATCTATCTTTTAATAATTTGATAAATAGTAAAATGATGCATATTTTATTCTCATTTTGTATTATACTACTAGTTAACAATTAGTCTATCAACTTTAGTAATAGTTAAATGGTTCAATATAACATTCTCTCATTTAAAAGATCCTCTTTGTATCTTTTATCCAATAACTTTTAAATTATTTAAAAATTATTTATATCAACATTCATTTAAATATAATTATTATATTATTTTTTAAAATTCAATAAATATTATATTTATAATTAAACATCTAACATCTAATTAAAAAATTTAGTTGAGAATAAAATTTATAATTCAAAATTTAATTTTCATCTAATTAAAAACTTTAATTGAGAATAATATTTATAATTCAAAATTTAATTCTTCACCAAATAGGTTGCACCACAAACCTTTTTAGGTTAGATCAATATGAAATTCAAGTCACAAAATCTATTATGTCTTATAAGTTCGAGTCAAATTGTCATCCATAAATGATAGTCTTATTTGAAACATTGAATGTTGAAAGTTGAACTTGAACCTAAATGATAAGATTGAGAAACAAAAATATATTTTTTTATAAGAATATATTAATAATTTTATATATACTCGATTGGACTCATACTTAACTCAACCCAAATTGACCCAAAAATCTAAATATTTACCCGACCAATACTATTCAATCCGATATTGACCTGACCCGAAAATCAATCGATCTGATATTGATCCGACCCAAAAATCAACCGGTCTGATATTGACGAGATTCGAAAACCAACCGACCCTATATTGACCTAACTCGATACCCTATCTAACTCGACTTACTATTGACCCGAATTGAAACCAAACTCGAAATAACCCATCCCAACCTAAACCCGTTCTGAATGACCCGTTTGCCACCTAGTTTTGGATAGAATGAAATGCTTTTTAAAAGAAATGTATGCACTACACAAGCTTATGACTTTATTTATTTATTTGGGTGAAGATTTCAGTAACGATTTGGGCGTATCTGGTTTAGTTTTAGGTAATTGATCGTTAATTTCCTTATATTTTATAACATATATTTGATTTAAATGAATATAAAAAATTAAAATTAAAATACAAAGGCAAGATAAAAAGAATGTAATTTTGGATGTTCGAATCGAGACAAATTTGGGATAAAAGTAAAATAAGGTTTGGGTCCAAATCCATGTCAAGGCAAGCAAAAAACTATAAAGGTCTATTTCCGCATATGGCCGAAAACAGTCCATCAGCATCTACCAGAAAATTTCAAATTATCATATATTTTAGATATTTTCTACTAATAATATATTCTCTTAGAATTTTATAAATTTGCTCTCCCCTAAAATTTTAGAAATTCACCCCAACATAAAATTTTGCATTTGTCCCTGTCCATATGGCTCATTGCTTGTCCCTGTCCATATGGCTCATTGTTTGAAACCGGACATAAATCAGCTGCGAGGTCAGAGGTTAAACACATGATGCTAACATATTTCTCAATTAACATCTTCTTCTTTTTTGAAAGTTCAATTAACAACATCCGAATGACTCTTATAGGTATATCTCTGCCTGCTTAAATAAACTAACACAGATTTTACAGGGGGAAATTTATAGATCATATATATGATACCGCAGAAAAAGCCTTCGGACAACATGTGGAATAGCAATATCAGCTTACCGGAAACGGCTTGTCGTTTCAGTGAAACATCAATGAACTCTTCACAAAAGACAACAAGTTGTGTGATGAAAACCGAACTTCAGACCACCATAACTAAAATGTTTACAGAAAGGCATTTCTTGTACCTTGTTAGGATGATGGTTCTGATTGACTCGCTGATTGCTTTGGCCTGTATTGTCCAGCAGGCGGGCCATCTTTTCGTCTCTCATATCGTTTGCTCACGTATTTTGAGTCTTTTCTAGGTTTTGGTTGATACGTAGGGTATTTGCAGGGAATTATTTCTCCATTGACATATTTATCACCTACAAAAAATCGAAAGCAAAAGCAGAAGCACATTATATGATCATAATCCAGCCGTCCAGGCGAGAAACAAAGAAATTTGTTGGCATAACCAAGGTTGATTAGCTGAAACAACCTCCGTAATTTTTATTTTTGACATCTATGTAGGAATCTGGCAGCACCCAAAGAACTCCGGGCAATCCTACATAAACAATGAAGTTCGTTCACAACTCATGGTTAACAAAATAGTTCAAACAAACAGGGCCGACGATAAATCTCCTTACCCTTGAATTTTTCAGAGGTTTCTTCTGATACAGTACATTGGAACCCAGTATAGGTAGTGGTGCTAAACGCATACATGTTCTTCTTTGCTTCTTCCATGCTGTAATAATTGGGGGGGTGGGGGAGTTAAAAACTTAAAATGATTAAAACACACACAAATCACAATAGTCTCCATATTCATATCGACTACGTTCTAACACATTATGTCACAACTAGCATCAACTGAACACTAGGCTTGAAACCTCAAGGCAAAATTCGGTTCGACAACAGCCCGCCATAGCAAAAGTTCCTTACATAAGATCTAATACTAGACCTAAACATGAAGAATCTGTAAAACAAGATGCTAATAAGTTCTATAAGCCACTAAACCCCCTTGGCACAAGCTTGTTCTTCAGATATTAGACGGAAATAACTTGATTTTGACCAAATTTCAGACCATCCATCAATCTCACGCTGATACCTAAGCCTAATTCATTATATCTGGCCTTGGAAAAGACTACAGATGGCCTAAAAGAATGCTTAATATAGAGCCATATGCAACATATGAGTTGCAAGCTTCACTAATATGTGCAAATGGAAATCGAAATAACTAGTTTAGATCTTATGAGTTCTAGACGTTAACTAACTCGGGTTTGAGTAGGATTGCAAACAAGAAACCTATACTCACAAGATATTTGTGTTCAGCTCGAAAAAAGCTTGAATTTAATTTGGTCATTCTTGAGGCCAAGCTAGAGATATCGAGAAAGCCAAGTTCAATCATTTTAATACTCATTTTGAGCAGCTTGTGAGCCTGCTCAAACTTTTTTGTGTATAAATGTATTTTTATTATTTGTTATTAAAGTACTACTTTAAGCCAAAAAAATGTGTATGGAACGTTATCGAGCTTAAAGTCTAGTTTGAGTCATAAATCATGCAAACATTTTGTTCCAAGCTCGGAAGCTCAAGCTTAGACAATCGTTTTCAATAGAGCTCGAGCAGAGCTATGAACAGCAAGTTTGGAATCAAGCTTGAGCTCGAGCTTCTCCCTGTTCAAGTCTGGCTTTACTCGATTACAGCCTTAGATGTGTGGATTGGAATCAGTATGTGTCCGACACAAATATAGTTTGGGATTTTTTAGTTTTTGCATGGATTTGGAGAATCCTTGAAGGTCATATCCCTATATCTATACGACACACAAGAAATATGAAGAATCCAAATAACATATGTCTCAAATTTCAATGATGAACTTTTATCATATGTTGTGGAAGTCATTATAATCATCCATATATAAAATTTATCCTCTTTTCTCTACTTCGAATTATAACGAGAACTCAATCAAACACAGCCAATTCAACAAAAAATCTCATCAAACCCTCTAATTCTGATTCTTCAGAGAATGAAGCAAAACCCAGAAAGCTGAAAGTCTGACCTGCCAAGAACAGTGGCAAGTGTGTTGAGATAAGCGTCAATCATTTGTTCCCTTGTAGGAGCAGGGTCTTTAGGGAACTCCATAACAATAAGCCAATGATTATAATCACATCCAGGCAACATTATGGTTTCCCTCGGCTCATTGCTGCTGCTCCTCTTGGACGAATAGTCACTGTCGAGTGCTGCAGCTCTGACGATGCGATGAGGATGAGCTGGTGGTGAAGGATGGCGGCGAGTCAGCGAGTTGAGTCCCAGAGTTGAAGGTGGAGTGAGTCGGAGACGAGTTGGAAGAAAGGGTTTTGTGGGTAAAAGGAGAGACGAAGGGTTTAACAGAATCGCCATTGGAGCTGTCTAAAGGATTAGATTTTGATATTCTGAATTTGATGGGAAATATGGTTCAAAGGTTTAGCCTTTTTTATATTTTTGGGCTTCGAATACAAATTTTCAATTTTTTGGACTAAAAGTCCAAAACTAATGGTTTTGAGTGTTCTTTTAAGTGAAAAATTAAACACGTGTTTGGTCAGTGTATAATTAGGATGACATATGGGGAATGGGTGGGCAGCAGCGGATACCTCCTCCCTAAAAATTTAACCACAAAATATTATTACTGTTAGAAATATTATAATGTAATATGTTATGGATGAAATTTCAGGAAAAAAAATTAATTGAGTGTAAAATCTGATAAATTCTCACACACTTAAGTAAAAAAATTTAATTAAATTCTTATTTTCAAATATAAAAATAGCAATAATATTAGCACCCCATGTCCCCAACCTTGTATGTAAAGAAAATTCGTAGAGAATTAGAGGTTTCCTTTTATTTTTGATGCAAAAATGAGATAATGCTGACAAGTTATTGGCCTAGAAACTGACCCTTATGCCCTAAACCCCACAGGAACCTTTTAGGACTCCACAAGTTTTTATTATTGTTAATGATGGACTTTTGATTATGATATTTAAGGGATGGAGTATAGTGTTTAGATGAGACAATCTCAACCGTAAAAAATAATTAAGAAAATAAAATTACTTTCAGCCCCTAAAACTATAATATTGTAAAAATTTGTTTTTTTAATAAAAATATATAGAATGAATTTAATCACCATAAAACAAATATTTTTTTGTAAGGCGTTTTATATAAAAATAAATATATCTATATTTTATTAACCCAATTCATGAGCAAAGACTACAACTATTCTCCAAAATATTATAACCTCAAAGAAATCAAGCACAATGAGGAGGAGCTATAATAAAAGTCCATCAAGAATATATACAAATACATGTATGATCTATTGATATAATATAAACTTTTAAATTTTAGACGTTCTTTTTAAATTGTTTTAAATTTTAGATGTTCTTTTTAAATTGTTGGATAAATAAAAATGGACGATTAAAATTAATACTAAAAATTACAAAATAATGAATTTTCTCAAATTTAAAACTTTAATCCTAACCATTAAACTCAATTAATTCAAAGATCTAAAAGTATATGAAATTTTAAATTTTACGCTATTTAAGTGAATACTAAAACTAGGATTGTGAACCTCTTATTGACAAAATTAGAAAACGATTGCACCACTGGTCTGCCTGTAACCTCAGCTATGCAGGCATACTTGAGTTAATTCGGTATGTTTTGTTCAATGTTAGTAATTTCTGGTGCAGACAACTTGCACTCCCAGCATCGATCTTAAAAACCGTGGATCAGCTTTGCTCACGGTACTTCTGGAAAGGAGAAGATAAGTCTGTTGCCGGTGCTCGGGTAAGTTGGGATAATAATTGTCGTACGAAGTATGAAGGAGGCATAGGACTGATTATTATCTCCATTTGGAACAAAGCGTGTATTATTAGCCTTATAAAGAAAATTTTTGCGGGTGATGGCTCTCTATGGGTTGCATGGCTACAAAATTATATCCTTAAAGATAAAGACTTCTGGCAATTCGAACCTGGAAGTAACGTTAGCTGGGGTTTTAGAAGGATTTTAAAGCTAAGACATACTGCTTTTCCTCTTATTTCTACTGGTTCGTTGCAGACAAAGGAAATTTGGGACAGAATTCGGTTGCAAGGGCAGAAAGTTCCTTGGCATCGTCTCATTTGGTACCCTATGCATATTCCTAAACATAGCTTAATCACTTGGATGGCCATTTTGAACAGGTTACCAACCAAAGATTGGTTACACAGAATGGGAGTTCCCACAGATGGTCTCTGTGTTAATTGCAATTTATACCAAGAAACTAGAGACCATCTCTTTTTTCAACTGCTCCATGGTTATTCGTCTTTGGAAATCCATCTTAAATTTGAACGGGATTAATCATAATTTTTTGACATGGGAAGATATGGTCGATCGTGCTAGCTTAACTTGGAAGGGAAAGTCCTTACTCACCACCATCTTGAAAATCTCGTGGAATGCGTTCATCTATCACTTGTGGCAGGAACAGAACTAGAGAACATTTCGGGGTCGTTTCCGGGCTGTTGACGCAATTCTCAAAGACATCATTGATACTGTTGGTATTCGACTTAGGGACAAAGCTATTAACAAACTATATATTATTAACTTTAACCTTTGTAATGATTGGGGTATAGTCTAACCAATCATTGGTGTGTATTTAGGCTTTTGTTATTTTGTTGATTGGTTATTGGTTGTAGTTTGACTGTGCTTTTGGGTAATAAAATTTTGAATTATCCAAAAAAGACACACACATATATATGTACGAATTAGAATATATTTACACAATGTAAAAAACTTTTAGTTTTATATTGATTTATTATAGTCGGATGAGTACAAATAGACGGTTAAAATTATCTCCTTATTTTTTTTAGTGAATATCATCTCATTTACTACTTAATATCAATTGTCTATTTTCGTTAATCTAACAATCCATAATTAAAATATTTTATATTGTGTAATTGAATCTTACTTTTATATATATATATGATAGGCTTTGGCCAAGTTAATTGAGCAAAACGAAATCGAATTTACTAAAAACAAAGATAATTAATTATTTGATTGGTGAAAAAGAATATTTGATGAAAGAGGGTGAAATCCCATCAGGTGGGACGGGTGATGGGGTTAAAGCCACATTCCCACTACTCTACTTGTTTATTTACTCATCATCTTTGAATTGAAACATCGCTTATACCATAAATATTTTAATATTTTCAATGGTGGAAATTGTAGCTTCAATTTTGGGGATGGGAGAGAAGTTTCTAACAAAGTCAACTACAAGAGAGAGATGGCCATTTAAAGTACAACTCTCCTAAATGTTTTGTTTAACATAATCATAATATTAAATTTATTTGTTATATTATTTATCATTCTCATGCTTATCTTTTTTTAAATCAAATTTAACTTTTCGATCTTTCTAAAAAAAATCAAACTCAACCTTTTGAGATTTGAATTACTTTTTTTTAAAAATAGGAAATTAGGTTTTCATTAAATAAAAAACACAATGTACAACAAAAAAAACACAACCTCAATATAAAAAAATAAAAGATTTGAATTACTCGTTATCTTTATCGGACGAGACACTTTACGGAGTAATAAAGGAGTGGTGAGCGAACCAAACTATCGGGCAAGTTGTTTCGCTATAGAATTCTGATTATATCGTCAAACAACCTTTTATCAAAGATGATATCTAACTCTACATAACCACCGACAAGCCAATTTAAAAACAAATGTCGCGAGCACCAAAACAACTACAAATATATGAGAAAAAATTCAAAAGTCATAATGAACGTGCCACAATAATAAAGGAAAAACATGTCGCAGTGATAGATTTATATTTAAAATTGAAAAAAAAAACAATAAATTTAAGAAAAAAGAAAATAAATGACATAATATAAAAAAGAGAATTAATAATCATCAGAAGTTGATAGGAACATTAAAATTAATGTCATTAGTCATTATCAACTAAAAAAATCAAAGAAAAAAATAAGACTGCACAAAAAATTTTAATTATTTATTCAAAGATTCTCAATTATTTAGGATGAATAATAAGATAATATTTATTCTTAATTATTTATTATTAAATGCTCATATATTACTACATATATGATACTTGAACATAAGATCTTAAGAAATAACAATAATTATTTAATTACTAAGATCGCTTTGATAGTAATATATATCCAGGAAGTCAATGAGAATGAACATATTCTTTTATCCTAATATATCTGTTTCTCTATAATTTTTCACCAACCAGTGAGTTGCCAAGCACAAATAGCCTTTTCAAAAACATCCTCTGGTGGCTTCACCATGATCTCTCCCAACTTAATCAACGACAGAATGAATTATAACGATTGATTGGAGTTTGGATTTCTCCCATTGAAAACTTCACCTTGTGAACCAGTCATTTAAACAAATTAATCGAAAGCAAAATTGAACAAGAAATCAAGAAGAAAGTGAAAGTGAAAGAAATTGGAAGAGAAACGAAGAATTTGCAGAGAATTTGGTTAAGAAAGGAGAATTCCAATCACTCATTGCTCCTGCTAATGTGCGCTGATAACCTTTTTCAAACGTATGCCATTTTAAAAAAAAAATTCATTTGTTATTCTTTCCGGAAGATTTTTATTCGAGTCAGTGACATATTTAAAAATTTAAAGGTAAGGATTCAAAATTTTAATATATTTTAAAAAAAATTATATACAATTTTTTTTCAAAATTAAATTAAGTTTAACATTTTTTTCAAAATAATGATTGTACAATTACTCTTCTTAGAAGATGTATATTTTTGTCCCTAATTCAAGTAATAACATCTACAACGTATATGTTTATTAGTAATTAATAAAAAATTTAAAAAAAATATTATCTTATAATTTTATACTCCTAAAAAAATTAAATTCATTTTATAAACCTTTCAAGTTTATTAAAATTAAATTTCAACGAGATTGGTTTAAGTAGTAAGCAGTTTGATATCGTTTAAGCAAATTTTGAGTTCGAGTTATTGTGTATGCAGAAAATTTTCATTGGAATACTCATTCACTAAAACTAAATGTACTATCTGAATCAATCCAAATTAACCAAAATTAAACCTTAAAAACTGGAGAAGCAACCATAAAAATTAAAATTACAATAGCATTAGCATTAGCATGAGAATCCAAAAAGAAATAAACCAACTCATTATTATACACGCATATACGCGGTGGATCCTCAAATGGACGTCTTTTTAGTAGACTGGAAAATCTAGATGAATTTTTAAATAATATAGCATGTCATAACTTTTTAAAAATAAATTTCAACATTAAATATTTCCGAGAAAAGTATTTTTAAAATAATTTATAAATTGACAAACGCACAACGAACATAAACGTAGCGATGATTCTAGGAAATAAAAGTATGGTTTAAAAAATTAATATTCTTTTAAGAAAATAAGTATATAAAATTCTTTTTAAATT